ATTTGTACAAAGGAATATTATTAAAAAAGAAAAAGAACAGACATGAACATGAACAATGTGTGTGAATCTAAGAAATCTAAGGAATATAATATCGAGTGAGAAAAGCAAGTCATTACAGCTTGACATCTTTTTGATAACATTAGAAACAGTTCAAAGTGAACAATCAATGTACTTTTAGGAATACCTATGGATGTGAAAAGGCTATATATATACACACACACACATATATATATACACATGTATTGGAAACAGGTATCAGGGTAGCAGATACTTAGTTTTTTGGGAGAAATGGAGTGATCAGGGCAGGGGAACACAGGAAAGCATAAACTAGGGGGAATGGTTGAGGTGGTAGGTATGTGGGTGTTGATTACATGTATACACTTTTTTAATAGATCAGCAGTGTCTTGTGTGGACCAATGGTGAAAGTAAAGTAAGAACCAAGGATTATGGTAATTCCACTTCCTTGCATCTGAGTTTTGTCATTGCTGAAGTAACATATGCATATGGTTTAAAGAAGCCAAATTCTATAAAGTTTGAATGACAAAGAGTGGTCCCAGTTCCCACTTCTCTCTGTTGCCTTTCCAGAGACAACATTCAAACTATCTTAACTAATTTTTGGTGATTTACCTCCATATCTCTAAGCAATATGCCTTTACGGCTACTTTCTGATTTATTCAGTTTTAGGTATTGTCTATCAACAGAAGCATATGGAATAGATTTCACTGTGTTGCCCAATTTCCCACCGTCCTAATGGAGTTACATTATAATTTCTGCTGTATCAATATTCCGCGTACACATATCAGTCACATCTGAGTCATGATTACTTTTTCTTTAATGCACAGCATTTTGTTTTCCCTAGGTTGTTAACTGTCTTCATTCTCTGTTTGTTTAGTTTCCCAAGTTCTGATTTACTAAATCAGCCACAAATTATGCACCATTTCAATCTCTTCTCAAAATATTTAAACACACATCAGATATATATCAATTTCAAGTCCTTGCTGACATTGTTCCTAAAGCCTCTTGTCCCGATCCAGACTGATGGTGGCCCTCCACATCTGGGGCACAGCTGTTCTCCTGAAATCTCCCTTCTCCATGATGTTTGGGGGGAGAGGTCCCGTCACCTCTCTTCTGTGTTGGAGCCTGTGTTTTCTAAATCCTAGGTGTTTCTTTTTCATGGTTTCATCGTCCCCCTTTTTTAATGACACAAATCCTCTAGCAGCGTCCTGAGAAAAAGTGCTTTGAGCAGAAAATTTTTGAGAACTTAACATTCGAAAATGTCTTTATTCTACTCTCCTACTTGATGGATAGTTTGACTTGGTGTCCAGTTCTAGGCTGGAAATATTTTTCCTTCAGATTTTTGAAGCCCTTGCTCCGTCATCATCTAGCTCCCAGTGTGTCTGTTACAAAGTTTGAAGCCGTTCTGCCCTGACTCAGCTTTTAAACTGTCCTCAGTATTGTTCCCTTCCCTTCTCATTCACTGTCAGAGCTTAGACACTATTTGACCCATGTTGGGAAATCTATTTCTTGGGGAGCTTGTGGGATCTTTCTGTGTCCAATGTTCTGAAATTTCATGATGATATGGGTCCATTTTTATCCATTATTCTGAGTAGTTGGTGAGCCCTTTCAATGTGAGAACGCTTGTCCTTCAGTTCTGGGAAATTTTCACTAATTCCTCCTTTAATTATTTCCTTCCCTCCCATTTTTTTCCTGTAACCTTTGTTATTCAGATAGTGAACTTTCTGGACTGGTTCTCTTGATTTTTTTTTTTTACTTTCCTCTTCAAACTCTTCTAGTGAGAATTTTATTTATGTTCTTATATTTTTATTTCTCAAAGGCTCAATTTTATTTTCTGCATGTTACTTTTTATGGCATTCTGTTCTTGTTTCGTATATATAGTAGTTTCTCTTGTTTATCTGAAACAGTGATAGGTTTTTAGAGTTTTCTTTTTCCTGCACCTTCTCTGTTTTTGTTTGTTTTGTCTCAGTCACTCACATCAGAGTCTTTCCTCAATACGTAATCCTTTGTGCCTCCTTTTGTTTAAAAGTGAGGGACTAAAAAGCCCTCTTGTATTTTTGGGGCACGTGGTTGAGTCTTGTCAAAATGAAAACTTTGGTATTGGGGTATCTGGTTGGAAAGTTTATAGAGAAATCCCTGATATTAGACTCCACAGGCCTTTCCTCTTGGGCTGAACAGATTTTCTGGTGGAGATTTTCCTAATATCTAGCCTGGAGGGTGAAGGCCTGGTAGCCAGTCTTCTGGAAGAAATAGGTCTCAGGGCTCAGTAATCCATGTGCATATTGCTTTAATTTCCCTGATTTCTGGGCAGTGCTGCTGCCCTTGACTGTGCCAGTTTTCCCCATAGCAGAAACCTTCTGTTTCATTCCCTGTTGAGGAAAGAAAAAAAAAGTCTTCCCTTATTTTTTCTGGCGGTGGAGGGAACAGTCCCTCACTAGCATGAAGTTGGGGAGGAGATATAGGGATCTGTTTCTTAAACAGCTTTTAAACTGTCTTCAGTATTGTTCCCTTCCCTTCTCATTCACTTTCAGAGGCACTTGCTGCCACCACTCCTGAGCCTTCTGAGGCTTCTACAATAGATCAGATTGATTCTTAATATTCCCCCGAGGCCTGTGCAGCTCTCAGCTCTCTTGCCTGTGCCAGGACAGTTACCACGGGTGCACCTGCTTTCCACCTCCCCAAATGGTACTGTGGTCTCCTCATCTCCCTGTCTGTGTGAGTTTAGCTCTTTTCAAAAGGATCTTTCATGCCTTTCAAAAAAAATTCCTTTACTGAAGTTTTAGTAGAATTTCAGGAGAGAACACATTAGATATGTCTGTTCAACTCATTATCTTTTACTGGAAGACTTTATTACTGTTATTACTACTTTTGAATATGTAATACATGCAGAGGTTACACATTTCTAAAGGTATGAAAGAGTTCACAGTGAGAAATAAATCCCTTTCCATCCATGTCCTGAAGTTTTCATCAATTTCTTGCATGGAAGCAGCTCTTTGAGGGTAGGGTATACACCTAATAAGAGGAATCACTAGTCTTTACAAAAAGAGGACTCAGCTTAGACACTATTTGTCAAATGACAACAGGTCCCTGCCCTTGGGTGGCTTCTCTTCTCCACAGGACACAAGCTGCGTTGACAAGGAACAAGGATAGTTATTTCCCTTTGAAAGTTTCCCATTCTCTTAGGGTTCTCAATCATTTCACCGTGTGTTAATAGCAGAAATCCTTCTCACAGAAGTAGGACAGGACTCCTTAATACTCTATCCATTTTTCAAAGGAGGAAGGTGAGATTCAGAAGAGAAGTGACTGCCCATGGTCATCAGAAAGTAGGCTGAGGAACCTAGATTTGAAAAGCAGGTATCAGCATTGTGCAAAGCATACTAGCTGGGAGGTAGGACTGGTTTCTTACGGTGGTCCTCAGTTCATCTGCTTTGCAAACAACTGAGGAGTTTCTTAAAAATCCAGACTTCTGGGTCCCACCCTACACCTACTGAATAGGAATCGCTTAGGCTGGAATTCAGAAACTTACATTTTTTTAAAAATTTTCCCAGTGATCTTAGGCACACTAAAGTTTAAGAATTGATATGCAGAAAAACTGCTCTGGGCATGCAGAGCAGGAAGTAATTTTAGACAGCTTCATGGAGAAGGTGGCATGTGAGTTTGTCTAGGATGGCAGGGTGAGATTAGACACCTACGGAGGAGGGAGGAGGGGGCCAGATCAGGGCGTCTGATGGAGAAGTCAAGCCCAGGCCTTTCACCGCCCCTCTCATTGTTGCTGTCTCATCATTCCCCTCGTCATCTTTTCCATCTTCTTCTTTAGCCTCTTACCAAAAGCTCAACAATTGTCAATGGGTTGAGCTCAGAAGAATGTTCTGCTCTCTGGGAGCAGGGGGTTGGTGCCCACGTAGACATGGATTAGCATGTGAAGGACACATACCGAGTTGACAAGCAGAGGACATCGAGTCACAGGCAGACAGGAAGGGGCAAAGATGGATAAATGAGAAAGGGACAGGTACAGAATCAAGGAAGACATATGTGAGCTGGAAAAGGACACAACTAAACATGGTTGTAAAGGACACTCACTCACAGAGACAGATTAACAAGGTCACACACAAAGGCACAACAAACACCCGGCACAGAGCAAAACGGAGAAAGAGGACATATGCAGATGGATAGGTGGAGGACACAGGCAGATGGAGATGGACTCGGGCGATGCCTCAGATCTATGAAGGGGGCCGAGAGTAGTTGGTCCCTTTACCCCACTGGGTTGAGGGTAAGGAATTAATCTCAAGTACGCGACTCTGACTTACAGGCAGGGCCCTGCCCATCTTCCTGTCTCACTGGTTGCTGCAGACTGTAAGGGCTGGGTGAATTCCTCAGTGGGCACCTTGGTCAAGGCGAAGAAGGTCTACCTCCTCTCTCTTATGTCACATTTATTTCATCTTAGATGTTTATTATTAGGCCTGAATTCTAGCTTCTTTCGGATTCGCTGCCCAATTTCATATACAGGTCTCTCTCGTCCTGGCTCTTTTCAGGGTGTTTTAGTCCAACTCCTGGTTTCAGCCATCTCAGGACCTTGCCTCAGTTCATTCACAGATCACTTTCCCTTTAAACTATTTTTCCCAAACCCCCACCTTCCCAGACTCCCTCTCTTTCCCGACATCATGTGCAGTTTCTAAGAGCACTACATCTCCCATAAAACTCAACGCCCAAGCTGCTACCCTAGGGAACTTCAAGTACCGAAATGCTCTCCTATGGGGCTTCGAGACTGTCGCGGTGACCAGTGGGATTGGTAGTCACTTAGGAATTGTCAGGAGACCAAAGAAACTACTCATCCCAGGAGTCCTCGCGTCAGAGGCGGGTTCCCCCAGTCTTTCTGCGCATCCCTTAATCCTTTCTCGGACTCTAACTCCCACCGTGCCTTGCGCCGAGTCCCTGCGGAGGACAATGGCGCTGTGTGCAAAGTGTGCTCTGTGAGTTGTAGTTTCTATGTTGGTGAGGCGCGGAGGAGGCGGAGTGAGTCGGCGGCCATTAGCTGTGTGTAGTTACCGGGACTAGGAGCATAAGTGAAGAGGGAAACCTTATTCGGTGGAAATCAACCGTGGCTATGGGCTCCTGCCGGGGCTAGCCCCAGAGTACGGAGAAGGCGGGCTTTTCGGTACCCCGCCCCGCCAAGTGGCGGGGCCCACTAGGCCTTCGGGCATCCTCGGTCTCAAGTAGGCCTTGTCTACCGGCAAGGGCGCCCCGAAGGCAGGAGGCGCCATGTCGCTGGTTGCTTACGCCAGCAGCGATGAGAGTGAGCCGGATGAGGCTGAGCCCGAGCCGGAGCCGGAGGAGGCGGCGGCCCCTACATCTGGGTCCACTTTAGGGGGCTTGTTCGCTTCTCTCCCCGCACCTAAGGGTCCTGCTTTGCTGCCTCCGCCCCCCCAAATGCTGGCCCAAGCCTTTCCCCCCCCGCTGTTGCTGCCCCCACCCACCGGAGACCCCCGGCTCCAGCCGCCTCCCCCTTTGCCCTTCGGCCTGGGAGGATTCCCCCCACCTCCAGGCGTGAGCCCGGCTGAAGCGGCAGGAGTTGGGGAGGGGCTGGGATTGGGGCAGCCTTCGCCCCGAGGCCCTGGCCTCAGTCTGCCCCCCCCTATCGGCGGTGCCGGGCCCCCCCTGGGGCTTCCCAAGCCAAAGAAGAGGACAGAGCCGGTGAAGATTGCGGCGCCAGAGCTGCATAAGGGGGATGTGAGTATTCTGGGAGGGTACCCCCAGACTGTCCATCGGGTTTAGGCATGGGCCCAGCTGTGGGAGGGACTTGTGCAGATTCCGTGACTCCTTCCTATAAATGCATCCGTTATTCCAGACCACTGGATTTCTGCTACAGTGCGATTTATTGAGGTGAGGCTTGTCAACTTCGGGGAGATAGGGTATCTGTGCGGTTTTCTCAAAACTGGACTCGCTTGCCTAGGGGCCACATACCATCACCAGACACTGACAGGCTCAGGCCTAGGGACACTTAGTTCTGCTCTTTGTAGCATCTTCACCTCAGGCCGCCTCTCTCCCCACCGCCCCTTCTTGAGCACAGCATAAAATCTGGCATCTGAAGAAATGACAGGAGACGAGGTTCCTGATCCCTTGCTGAACTTTCAGGACTAACCTTGCCCTTTACCTCTCAACTTAAAATCATCAGCATCTGAACGAAAAGGATAGGAATCCTGGATTCTATTTTTGAGGGGAGTTAGGGGGAAAATTGAGTATTGAATTCAGATCATTTGCCAGGTATTGTCCCTTTCCTTCAATTATTGTACAACTTTGGAAGATAACATTCTAATTTTTACAGATGAGAAACAGGTGTCCATGTAAGATCTTACCTGGTACAGGACAGAGTGAAGATAGAGTGGGGTCTGCCTGAACTCCCATCCAGTGCCTCGGATTCACCATCTGGTGTTGTCAAGCCTTGGTGAATTAGGATCCTTGGGTACTATTTCTAGAGGAGGCAGCCAGGTTTATGTTGTTTTCTGTGTGTTGGAGCAGAAAAACAGAAGGGCAGGCCTTTTCTGGAGTGAGTGCTTTGGGGATAAAGAAGGCATTAAGCCTAGGGATGGAATGTTTTAGAGTTACCCAGCATTCTTCCCTTTCTCCTTCTTCTGGAAAGTTCGGGTCAGTCTCTGGCCCACCTTTGGTAACCCTCTGAGAGAAGCTGATTTTGCCCCTGACTTCCACCTCTGTCTCAGTGCCATTTTCATTCTTTCCACTTGCTGGTCCCTCAGCTACTGCTTCCAGGTATCCTAATGTTCTCTCCCTTACTCTTTCACGTTGGCTTAAAAGACGTGTTCTCAGTGAGGGCTTTCTAGCCCTCCTATTTAAATTGCAGCTTCCTATCACCCACTCCTCCCCAACCCTCTTCAGTTGTATTTTTCTCCACAGCACTCATGACCGTCTAACACATTATATGTTTTATTGTCCCCTCTCCTTCTGCTAGTATACAAGCTCCATGAAGGCAGGCTTATTATCCTTTATTTCATTCACTGCTGTATCCCTAGTAGTTAAAACAACACCTGGCTCATACTGAGTGCTACCTGAATATTTTCTGAATGAATGAATTTGAATGAATATGGATTATTCATGGAAGGAGGTTCCCAGAATCTGCCTTCACTATCTTGTTCCAAGCATTCTTCCATATCATTTTCCTCCTCTTTTTCCCCTGAGTCTGTTGTTTCTAAGTTTAGGATCCAAAAGTTTTCTGTTGCTCCGCTAAAACTTACTTTGGCCTTGATTTAACCTGGATCGAAGGAAGAATCCCTGAAGAAGGCAGAGGAAAATAAGTTCATTTCCCTGGCCTGCCCTTTGCCTTCTTCATAGGTTTCTCCCCAAACTGTGTCTTAGCCTAATCGTGACCTATGGGGGAAGATGGCACTTTGAGCCAGCCTCCCTCCCTCGGCAGTGGCAGTGAAAAGGCTCCTTTCTAGGTCTGGGGAGGTGGCATTAGAAGAAGTTGCCGGTAGAGGTTGTAGAATCTTCCACTCAGTCTGGCTGAAGCGGCAGAAAGCTCTGAGGACTCCTGACTGTCTCTCCTTTGTGAGTATAATTCACTCAGTTCCTGAGGTGAGCAATGAGGTAGATGATTAAAGCCAAATTTTAGCCCATAGCTAGTTCAGTTTCCCATTTTTGTTCTGTTCAAGTTGGGATTTTTGTTCTCTGAGGGACTAATTCCTGGGGAGAGGTAGCCTGAGAGTTCAAGATGATAAGTAAGGGTGACCTTCGTCTCTGAAGTAGTTGTGCCCCCTCCAGGTCTAAGCCCTTCTGGTTCTAAGCTGTGGCTTGTACTCAGTAGGCACTCAGGGCATGTTTGAAGAAATGAATTAGGTTTTCGTAAATGATTTCTTCTACTTCAGCACCAAACTCTGAAGGCAAAAGTACCTACAGTAGTGAACACGATAGACTCTGTCCGAAAGGGACTCACAGTCTGTTGGACGAGACCAACAAGGAAGCCGATTTTTGGCCAAGTCAGGGAAGAACCGTGAGAGAGCTGGGGCTCTGGGAGCACCCCCAGTGGACACTAACCCAGGCCAGAGGTTGGAGAAGCTTCCAGGAGGAGGAGCTGCCTGAACAGAGAGAAGACAGATGAGTAGGAGATAACCAAAGAAAGTGGGGTGAGGTGGAGAGGGGCACCTCAGGCAGAGGGAACAGAATGTACGGAAGCCTAGAGGTGAGGGAGAATGAAAAGCTTTTGGGGATCTTGAAGTGAGGGTATACATGGGTGGGCATGGGGAGTGATGAGAGATGCAGCCAGAGGGGCTGAGGCCAGATGATAATGAGCCTTGAATGCTCTGCTAAGGCGCGTGTACTAATTCTGGGGTAGTGAAGAGCCCTTAAAGGCTGAACAAGAATCCTCTGATTGTGCACCGAGTGGTGAAAGACCCGGTGGGAGCAGGACTGGCTGGAACACAGTGTGAGACATGATGGCAGCCTGGGTCAGGGTGTAGCGCGGGCTGGAGAGTCCCCGAGACTCCAGGGCTATTAAGGAGGTCGAAGTGGTAAGGTTAGGACATTGATTAGATGTCATGAGTGAAAGTGAGGATTCAGGGTTGACCCCATGCCTCTGGCTGGGAGGGTAGTGATGCCATTTTTCTAGGGAAAATATGGGAGGCAGGCAGACTGGAAATTTGTTAGATTGAATTGCGTGCAGGTATCAGAAACCAGTTCAAGCCAGTTTACATAGTAATGCAGCATAAACCTGAAGTATACTGAGGTACCTTGGAAAGGGCCTGGAATCAGGAATTAGAGATCTTTTGGGTTCCCACACAGCTTCTCTTTGCACGTTTGAGTCATTCTTTTCCTCTGCTTCTCAACCTTTGGTGCAGGTGAAAGATGGCCACCCACACCTTCTTGGTTTTTGTTTCCTTCCTTTTAGTGGTCAGCCCAGATTGAACTATAAGCTTAGTCCCAATTCCGGATTTCTGGGAGAGAGATGGTTGGTTTGATTTGGGTCGGCTCATCAGTCAGCTGTTGTCAGGGGACAGGGTGGTACCAAATTCTCTCTCCAGGGGCACTGCAAAATCCAGGTCAGTCAACTTTTGATTTATGTGAGGAATGAGGAATGATCCATAAAATGGGAATGATCGTCCTCCCCTTTTCCCTTCTTAATCTTCTTGCTCTGACTCAAGCTACATCTAAACATTGGTTGACAGTTGATTTCACGGGGTTACAGGATGCAGACTTCTAAGATTAGGATACAAAAAGACAAAATTAGAAGATCAAATCTGCTCTAAGAGTTTTCTGTCATATAATGTACATTCCAAAGCAAGTAGGAATTTTAGGGTTACAGACAAGGATGAGTATCACCCAACTTTCCGATTGTTTACCCAGGTAGTGGAGAATTTGAAGCTGTGAAATTGAGATTTCACTGACTTTGGTCATTTCTGTTAACCAAGTTATTAGGAATTGACTACAGTGGATAAAGCTGGGTTACCCTGGATGGAAGGGGAGGGAGTGCACCAGCATTTGTGGGACCCTGTGCCAGGCATTGCAGTGACTGTAAGCTGAGTGTTATCCCTAGTTTACTGATAAGGAAATGGGGGTTTAGAGAGCAGAGGTGATTTGCCTAAAATCACGCAGTTTGGGAGCAGCAGAGTCGTAGTTGAACCCAGAGGTGGTGTTTTTTTTTTTTTTTTTCCTTTTTTATTTTAGATTTGTTGGTTGCTTTTTTTGTTTTGTTATTTTTTTTTGGGTTTTTTGTAGTTGTTGGTTTTTTTTTTTCTTTTTTTTTGTTTTGTTGTTTTTTGTTGTTTTTTTTTGTTTTATATTATTAATAAGTTTTTATTTTTTTTTTTTTTTTTTATTTTGGCGGAGAGGAGCGTTGGAGTGATTAGACTTTGGAGCCTTGCGGGGGCGTCTGTGCTTGGGCCCTTATTTCCTCCTTGGCTTCTGGCCCTGGCAACCAGTGATTGCTTTTTGGAGAGGGAGCCTGTCAGAAACAGAGCCTGGGAAGATAAGAGGGAGGCTGCCACGGGGAATGAGGCTCTGATAGATTAGCAGATCCCACTGGGCCTGGCTTAATGGAAAACGTCTGTTTCCGTTCTTGCTCAGCAGTCTTGGGGGGTGTGTGTCTTGTCACTCTTGGCAGCTGGAGCAGAGAGGACAGTGGTGGCTGCTGAAGCTCAGGCTCTTGTGAGGCCAAGAAGAAAGACAATATTTTCTTCTTAAGAGACAACTATTTGGTGCCTCTAAAACCTGGGAGTGCCCTTCCTGGCCCAGCAGGCTTCTCCCAGCCCCAGTGCCCCATGTCTCTGGCCTTACCCTTCTCTCGGGCTCATGGCAGAGGCCCTGCTCACGGCTGCAATTTGCTGGTGTTTAATACTCTTCGGGAGTTCACTCTACAGCCTCCAGATAATGGAGTCCTGAGGAAAACAGTTCGGCAGTTCCTCAAAAAGTTAATTAGAAATACCCTGTGATCCAGCGATTACTCCTCACGTGTAAAGAAGTAAAAACAGGGACTCAAACAGGTATCATCCCCCTGTTTACAGCACCGCTACTCACAATAGCCAAGAGGAGGCAACAGCCCAGGAGCCCATAGATGATGGGTGGATGGGTGAAGTGTGTGCACACGCAGTGGAATATTATTTAGCCTTAAAAAGGAAAGCAGTTCTGGTAGGCGCTACAACATGGATGGACTTTGAAGACATTATGCTAAGTAAAATAAGGGAGACATGAAAGGAGACATAGTGTATGATTCCACTTACATGAGGTACCTCGAATATGCAAATTCATAGAGACAAAGTAGAATAGAAGTTACCAGGGGCTGAGAGTGGGGAGCAGGCAATGGGGGGTTATTGTTTAATACATACAGAGTTTCTGTTACGGACGATGGAAAAGTTGTGGAAATAGTAGTGGGGATGGTTATATAACATTGTGAAGGTACCTAATGCAACTGAGTTGTACACTTAACAATGGCTCATTTTGTGTTATATATGATCTACGATGATAAAGGAAAAATGCCCCAATGTACTTCTTTACTTCTCACCATTGAGGATGTTCTTGCATCTAAATTAAATGATGTGCGCTTAGAAACTGAATTGATTTTTCTTTCAAATGCTCCAGGACAGCTGTATCTCCCTCCTCCTGACCCAAGTGTGAGTGGAGGTTCTGTGGCCCATCTTTTAGCAGTTGGTTAACTCCTGTTCTTGCGTTTTGGCACTCTCAACCGAAATGTATTTCCTTTTGTGAACTATTGGGGTAATTCTTTGCTGAACTTCCCTTCTGTTTCCTGTTAGTTTTCAGTCAGGCCCTCACATGCCTAGAAGAACCTTTTTAAAAAAATTGAAATATAATTGATACACAGTATTATGTTGGTTTCAAGTATACAATGAAGTGATTCAACAGTTATACACATGATTAAATCCTGACTAGTACAGTATCTGTCAACATAGAAAGTTATTAAAGTTACTATACTTACTATAGTTACTATAGAAAGAAGTACAGAACCATTGGCTATATTCTCCGTGCTGCACTTCCATCCCAGTGACCAGTTTATATTACGATTGACATTTTTGTGCCCCTTTATCCCCTTCACCCTTCCCACCCACTGTCCCCAGCCCCTCCCCCATGGTAACCACCAGTCAGTTCTCAGTGTCTCTGAGTCTACTGCTATTTTGTTTTTTTATATTCCAACAAATAAGTAAGATCATAGAGTATTTGTCTTTCACTTGGCTTATTTCCCTCAGCATAATACCCTCTAGGCCCATCCATGTCACAAATGGCAGAATTTCTTTTTTTTTATGGCTGAGTAATTATTCCATTGTGTATATGTACAGCATCTTCTTTATCTATTCATCTACCAATGGACATTTGCTTCCACATCTTGGCTATTGTAAATAATGTGGCGATACTAAAAGTGCTTTGAGTGGCATCTAAACCTATTTTCATAGTGAGCCAGTTTCCTTCCTCTTCTAGAATGGAGTTGGCTAACGTTAGTGCGAGGGCAAGAGGTGGTTCTCATTATTCTGCCATACCTTCTCCATCCCCTGGACTTCCTCTGTGGCCCTGGGTAGATTGAATGTCTGAGTCTTGTTTGTCAGCTTTAAGAGGCAAAGAGTTATTTCTAGTCCCCCCACTGCCCCACCAAGATAAATAGTCATGCCTTAACAAGGGTTTAGGAGCTCAGCACATTTCTGAGGGTCTTATTTTAAGTATTATGTTTTAGGGAGTCTCATATTTAGTGTCCATCATGAGACAATTTAAAATGGCATTCAGTAGATGAAAGAGGTTTATTGTGAGTAGCTGTACGAGTCCTCTAAACCCAGAAATAATGAGGTATTTCCTAAAGTGTCTGTGCAGTTGGTTTTTGTTGTGTACTGTGTGTTTTTAAACTTAAGTTGTCAGTATCATGGGAAGAACCTGTGACATTTAAAGAGAAATTGAATCTTCTTCCCCCAGCTGACTTGGACTTCAGTTCTGTGAGCCGGAGGACAGATTGCCTATATTTCACAGTGGCCGCTTTGGTTTGTCACAGGATCTGAAAAATAAGAATATGCTTGTACAATTTTATAAATGTAATCATCTTAAACTTGAATAAAATTTGTTTATTTTCAGATTGTTTCCACTGAACCTATTACCTAAGATGATAAAGTTTAAATATGCCTGGGAGCATCATGAAAACCTTGTATCCCCTTAATGAAGTGGTTCTGTGTGATCTGCTGGAAAGGAGATAAGTCTTCATGATCAAAACACAGGGAGATGGTCAGGAACCGCCGAGGCAATGGGAGTTTGGAACAGAGACAACGGGTTGAAATGCTTAGGTGTTAGGGGCTTAAGGCTTTTTCTTTGAGTTTGAAATCTTGGCAGGCCAGAGAAAATAATAATCCTTGAACTCTGCTTAGAAGTTTAATTTATGTATGTATTCATGGGTAGCAGTTCATGCAGTATTCAGAACATTGCTGTGACATGTACAATATTATTTCCACCTGAGGCTAGGGGGTGAAATGGCTTGTTGGGGAGCCCCCGGCCAGTAAGTGGCAAAGCTGAGACTCAGACTTCTCTGAGTTTCTGATTTTGTGCCTCGGGTTCTCTGGGCCGTATCGTGTGCGGCTCTGCCAGGAGCTGTCAGTGAGCATCTCCGGCGTGGATGGGCTTAGCCAGCTTAGCACAGCGTCACTGCAAAACATGGGGGCCTAGCTGATTCAGATCCGGTTCCAAGGCATTCTAGCCGTTATTTAACCTCTGAGCGTTACTTCCTTGGCCTATAAAACTGAGATAATAATGCCTACCTTGGCATGTTTTTATAAGGATAAACAAAAAATTGTAAGCAAATTGCCTGACACACAGATGGTCCTTTACCACCCTTTGCCTTATGCTGGACATCTAAGTACCAAGACAGACTTTTCCCTTTATGGTTTTTTTAAAACACTTTTGGCAGCAGTTAGTAATTGAAATCATTGTGTACTGACTGCTGTGAGGCAGTCTTGAATTATAAGATGGGGCCTTTGCTGGCAGAGTAAAGGCAAGAACACACACAAGAAAAACATTAATGGTCACAAAACTTCCGCAAATGGATCAGCGTTAGCACGATGCGCTCGCCGACAAGTGTGCAGTGTGGGGGCCTGGTGAACAGGAGCAAGGTGGGGTTCCTCAGGAAGGCTTCGGGAATTTTGGCTAGGAAGCACAGCGCATGGACCAACAGGAGGACGAGGGGGCAGTGACAGGGTCTGGGGAGCGGAGTGAGGCGCTGAGCGGCCCGTGTGGAGGGAGGCGTGGCAGATTCTTTGAAGCACACTCCGTGTCCTTGTCTTCTCCCACCTTTATTAGGTGGGTGTTTATCATTCTTCTTACTGGACTGTAGTAAGTTCCTTGAGGGCAGGGACTCTTTTCATGTCATGGCCCACATAGAAAATCTTCGGGGCACACATGGGTAAATGGCCCAGGGGGCGCCTCTGGAGACCAGTGGGCCAGGGCCCTCCCTTCCTGCTCCAGGCCTGGAGTGGATCGACGTCATCATATCTGTAACCCCGCCATGGGGCACTAGTTGGGAATCTCCGTATGCTACGCAGCACTGTGTCTCACACAGAATAGGCTCTCCGGATTGACAGCCAGCAGGGCCCTGCAAGGACAAGTCCGTAAAGGAACTTGTGAGTTGTGGTTCAGGCGAGAAAGACGGGCAGAGGATATGAGTTCCTGCAGAATCATGGAGAGGAACAGGATCTTAGACTCTTGCCTAGTCATTTTTATTCACAGATCCAAACCAAGGTCTGGAGAACAAATGGAAAGCTTTGAAGGTTCTTGGTTTGAGGATTACTTTTTAAAAGTAAAATGCTTACTATTCATATGCCTTCCACCTTTCTGATCATTGAAGCTGCTTGGGAACTGGCATTCAGCTAAAACTTGAGGTGTTTTTCAGTGTGCGAGCTTGTGTTAGAAGCAGTCCTGGTGAGTCAGAGGGCTGACACAGATGGCCTCCTGTCCTGCCCCAAATCCTCACAGTCACCATCTGCTTGCCTTCTTCCTAGACACAGACACCTCTCTCTGGCAGACGATAGATCATACTTGGAGAGGCAATGGATTTCTCCAATAGCTTTGACCTTTAATGCCTCACAGAAGAGTAGTTAACACACCACTTAATCCCACTGGACTTCCCCAGCCCTGTGGTTATGTAGTCTATATAAGTGGTTTTGGAAGTGAAGCTGAGATTGGGTGAGATTGTGGGCCAAATCCCATTCATCTACTAGTGGATAGATTTATAGGAATAAGAATGCGTATAGCTTTTTCTTTCTACCAAAGACCAAATGGGAGGAAATAGCCTTATTTTAAAGGAATAGAAATTGATGCCAAGAAGGCTGTGCAGCAGGTCTGGGGGTGGGGGCATGAGTGACCAGGGGCAGCCTCCAAAGCTGGTCAAGAGCAGGGAGGGAGCCCTGCTGTCTGGCTGGGCGCAGGGCGGTACACCTCCAGCAGAGGCCCGTGCGGACCAGAGGGTGGCCGCTGTTGTCGGCCTGGATACGTGCTCCATCTGGTGCGGGTGCTTCCTCCACTGCTCTAAAACAGTGAAGGCTTATTCCATTTCTTTTTCTCTTAGTCAGATTCTGAGGAAGATGAACCCACAAAGAAGAAAATTGTCCTTCAGGTAAGCTTTGTGACATACCAGAAGCCATTTCTTATCTTCCCATATTGCTTCCTGAGAGGCAGGATTTACAATGCCCAGCGGTTTCCAAATTAGGCTCATAGTGACTGCAGGCATCCGAGGACCCAGGGTTGGGGTGTGGTTGTGTTTTCTGTGATGTCATCAGACCCTGTGCTTCTCTGGCCTCCCCCTCACTGTTCCTTGGCTTTAGCCAGATGGCGTTACCTTTCCTAGAGGACAGGTGTGGTAGGAAGGTGAATTCATTACGGTTCAGATAAAAGGCTTATTTAAGGAAAGTAGAATAAATGAATTGGTCAAAATGATGTGAGGAAACTTTTGTATTTTAAAGTTGTCTACTTCTCCTGGTCTCACTTTTAACCTGGAGAATAAGCACTTAAATAACGCTTACTGTGTAGCAGGCATTGTTCTAAGTGCTTAAGCAGCGTTTGATTGGTTCAATCCTCAGAGTAGTGCCCAAGTCAGAGTGTTTACCAATGAGGAAGCAGAGTTTAAGGAACATGCCCAAGGTCAGGACTCCGGCAGCCTGACCGTGGAGTCCGAGTCTTACCTGCTGCCTTTGGGTGCTGATCCGTGATCAGGACCAGAAGTCCTCAACCAGACGGAGCCAGGAGGTGACATCTTTGCTGTGTGCTGTTTCCCCTGGTCCCAGTGCCTTTATTCTGGCTCCCGGGAGTTTCTTCCTCTTCTGCTCTGAGCTTTAGATGTTGATCATATGTCTCAGGATCAGCAAACACGAAGGTCGCTGTCTTTTGGGTCAGGTATATGGCTCCAAAGCTGCCCCTTCCCTGGATGTTAAGGTGTTATTACACTGCTGGGAGGTCTCAGAAGGACAGTCATGGGGAAGTTGGGAAGATGACTGGTGAGAGTGACGTTGTGGCCATATTTATAGTGGGTCACGAAGGAGGAGTCACAGAGCAGCTTGCGTGGTGCATGCGGACAGGGCCAGCTGCTGTCCTGGCATCAGAAGGGCTCGCTGGAGAAGGCGGGCTGGCCACTGAAATGAGAGGAGGACACTGGCTCAGGAGGTACTCAGGAGGAAAGAGTTTTCCAGATGGTAGGAAGAGACGAGTGGCCAGAGGAACTGAGCCGTTAAGGCAGAGGGGGACCCACACTACAAAGGGCCGTGGCCGTGATCCCAGATGTCATCTGAGAGGTCGAACACTTCAGAGGCAGCTTGCGGGTGTGCTCCACCCATGTGTGTGTGCCCATCAGCCTGCCTCCTCTGAACCTGACTCTGGGATCTGCCAGGCTGGAGGATGTAGTCTGTGGACACAGACAGCAGGGAGAGGAGCCCATCTTCCAGGAAAGGTTCTGCCTGGCCTGCTGGACCCAGAAGTCTTATTTCACTTGTTCTGGACGTTTCTTGGCTGAGAGAGCTAAATACACTGCTCCTCCGGGATAGTGACACAGTGACCTCATTCCCTTCTCCTTTTTCAAACTGGCTCTTCCCTTGGCCCTGTAGTTAGGCAAGCTGGCCCTGTAACATATAGAAAGCAGATTCAGAGAGCTCCTTATGAGGAATAGGAACTCTGGGTGGGCTGAGCCCATTAGCTTACAAATTGATAAGTTAAGTGCTTGACCCTGGTGTAAACAGGCTGAATATACAACTTCTGAAGGGCTTTCCTTGGGGACAGGAGACGACTTTGGGCAACAGGTATGAATGTCTCTCTTGGTAGAGCCTTGATTTTGACTTTGAGTAGCAATCCAAAGGAAGGGGAGAGTTCTCATATTAAGAGGAACCTTCAGGATGTGGAGAGTGTTCAAGGGAGCAGCGGGTAGAGCCTCGGGCCTTTTAGGAAGTAGGATGATGTGAGATTCAGAGCATTTTATTTACCAAAAACAGAGTCATGGGAGGCTCTGTGGCAGAGGGTAGTGGAGCTGAGTTGGGACGGAGCCAAGGAACGGAGGGGTGACACCTTCCCTCGGGCAGAGCTGCCAGAAGAAGGGCCTGCGGTGGGAGGGCTCAAGACCAGATTGGGTGGCCTGAGTGGGCAGAGGGAAGAAGGAAATAAGGCTGCTAAGGCCGGACGCGAGGGCGCAGGTCTGTAATTCTTGTTCTTGCTGTCAGTGGTACATATCATCTCACTTGTCATCTTCCTTCCCCCCTTCCCCAAACCCGGGCTCACCAGGGATCTGGCGAGGGGACCGGTTTGTCTGCCTTGCTTCCCCAACCTAAAAATCTGACTGTGAAAGAGACTAACAGGTTGCTCCTGCCCCATGCCTTCTCCCGGAAAGCCTCGGACGGCTCCTCTGACACTAGGCCCTCCAGACGGGCCTCGAAGACCAAGCCCTCCCCTCTGGCTCCTGTTGTGGGCGCCACAACCACCACTCCGTCACCCTCCGCCATCAAGGCTGCGGCCAAGAGTGCTGCCCTGCAGGTGACAAAGCAGATCACACAGGAGGAGGATGACAGCGACGAGGAAGTGGCCCCCGAGAACTTTTTCTCCCTCCCTGACAAGGCCGAGCCTCCTGGAGTTGAGCCATACCCGTACCCCATCCCCACTCTCCCGGAAGAGCTGCCTCCAGGCACGGAACCCGAGCCTGCCTTCCAGGACGAAGCAGCCAATGCCCCCCTTGAATTCAAGATGGCAGCAGGCTCAAGTGGGGCGCCTTGGATGCCTAAGCCTGGGGATGACTACAGCTACAGTCAGTTTTCCACATATGGCGACGCTAATGCCGCTGGTGCTTATTATCAGGTGGGTAGGAGGCCTGGAGGACAGGCCAAGGAATGTTGGAGCTTGGTGGTCGGGGAGAGCTTTGAGCCCATGACATGACCTTGGTGGAGTCTCTTTGGCTGAATCAATGAATCTTCTAACGTCTTGATTTTATGAGACATATCAGGCCTGAAGGCATACAACTTTTATTCTGAACCATATTGGTCTAAAGTTGCCTAAGTCTTGAAGTCACACGGGTAGAACCACATAATTGACACCTTTATTCTGAAAACAAAATCTTACTGTAGCAGCTGGTGGGAGGTGTAGGGAGAAAGTGGAAGAGGAGCGGGCCCTAGTCTTAGGGATTCAGGGTAGCCTCCCAGAGTGGGTGATGAGCAGTGAGCTATGGTGTGGACCTCTAGGTGGCAGTCAGTCCCAGAAGGTTCTGGAGATGGGGACAGGAAGGAGGGAGACAGGAAGGGAGAGTCTGAATTGGATGCAGAAGGAATAAGGAGAATGGTGGGAGGCTTCCAGTGAGTCGTGAGACCCAGAAGGACTGGGGCAAGTCCCTGGAGAGGGGAAGCTAGGGGACCACAGGTGGGGCTGTGATCGAGAATAGGCTCTGAGGGTCGTTTGGGGTTTGAATCCCAAGCCCTGCTGAGCCTGGGCAAATTCCTTAGCTGCCTCTCTGAGTCTCAGATTCCTCAGCAACAGAACAGGACTCATAATGGCAACCTCATAGGGTTGCTAGGAGAATTAGCAGCTTACAGGGTTCCTGGAACATGGTAAATGCTCAGTAAACAGTTATGATAACTTCTCATTGAATTGTTATTTGGAAGCGTTATTTAGCTTTGTTCTGTGTGCCCTCGGAGAGTGGGAGGTAGGCTGCCCGTGTAAGTAGGTATAGGAAGGCGTCCGAGGCAGTCAGAGCCTCGCCTGGGTGGGGAGGGCTCGCAGGGGCTCAGGGGCCCGGCAGTGGTGGCTGGGCAGCTGCAGCCGGCTGGTCCTGTTGGGGGCAGCCGTAGACATTTTCCCTCACAGGCTGGGATCTTGGAAGACTGAAGTCCCCTTCAACCACTGTGATTCTCCGAATGGTCATTGTTAATCTTACCTTCAGTCTGGGCATGGATAGGGGCCCATGGTGGGTGGCCTTTGGGGAGACCCTCTTCTCATCAAAGACTTTGAAAGCAATTGTATTTCCTACATATTTGCTGTTAAACCCTGTTGTGTCTTGTGGGCAGATCAGGAGCAGTATTCGCTCCCCTCGACGTTGCTAGAAGGAGGAGGAAAATAAGAATTCTGTAGCAAAAAAAAAAAACAAAAGAAAGTCTTTTTAAATCTAAGAAACCACTGATTTACATATAACAAATGAATAACAAATTGTAATTCAGTATCTAGTCACAAACACCATTGTGGCGGTCTGTGCAAATTAAAGCACGTTCAGTATGCTAGGGGACCCTGCAATTGAAATGTATTTTATTATAAATACTTCTACAGAGAAACATGCTCTAATCTCTCTGAGCTTTTATGTGTTTTATTTAGTCAATATTCAAGCTTATTTTCTGTTTAGCTCTCTATAAAACCAAAGTTCTTAGAGGGGCATTTTTTTGAGTTTCAGCAAGGGTGGAAGAATAGGGAAAAGTGTAGGCAGGGTGGAAACGGTTTCTCAGACCTGTGGCTGCCTGGCAAGGTCTCCTCAGGGCCCTTGTCCCTGCCTTTATCCATCTTCTTCTAGGGTCCACAGCAGTATCTGGACAGCTTACCTCCACGGGGAATTACCAGATTCCTGAACTTAAAATCTGGTCATACAAACCTGGTTTATTTCCAGCTTTGTAAATTCCACATCGCCCTTACGGCGATTCGTATCTGAGTTCGGCAACCTCCCCCGTTATAGGCAGCGTCCTGTGTTCAGAGGCCCTGAATGGGGTGAGAAGCAGGAGTGGCATGCCCTCGCGTCTTCTCTCACTTGCTCACGTCAGAGCTTACTGGGGGCTCACGGGCGGGAGGAGCAGGGCTGAGGGCCGGTCGAGGTAACGGGTGGGAATCACCCTGGGGAGCAGCCCAGGGAGCGGGGTGTAAATTGAAGCAGGAGTGAGCGTTTTTGTTTGCCACCCCTCCCTAAAAAATATCCATCAGTACGCCGCAGAGGCGGTGCTTGAGTCACAGGGTGGGTCCTCAGGATCTGTGCCTTTACCTGGCCCATGTGAAGGGTCTCTCGTGACGGCGTCACCACTGCTTCTGAGGAGGGTTTTCTCTGTTCCTGGGCAGACCTGCCCGCTCTCCACCGGGCCCTCACTTGGTGTGTTTTTTCCCCTCTCGGCTGCAGGATTATTACAGTGGTGGCTACTATCCTGCACAGGACCCGGCCCTGGTGCCCCCCCAGGAGATTGCCCCAGACGCCTCCTTCATCGATGACGAAGCGGTAAGTTAACAAAGCAGCAGTGACTGTCTTGGACCCATGAACACCAGGTTTCAAATCTGAAGCTAAAGGAAATGATGTTTTTAAACTATATTCAGTTGGGATTAGGCATGGTAGCATATTGACTGAGAAACTCCAAATAATAGTGGCTTATACAAGAGAAATTAATATTTTCCCCCATCAAAAAGGCTAGAGGTAGGCAGGCTGGGCTGGTGTGGTGTGGCAGCTCCACACAGTTGTCACGGACCCACTGCCCTTCTGAGTTTTGCTTTGCCATCCCTTGGTGTGGCCTTTGTTCTGTTGGTTAGTGACAGCAGCTAAGACTACAGCCGGCAGTCTGCAGCCGGCCACCCATCTGCAGCAGGTGGAGAAGGACAGAAGAGGGACATTCTCCCTCCCCTTTCTGGAGACCACCTGGAAGTTCCTAAGACCACTTCCACTTCTATCTCATTGACTAGAATCTGATCATGTGGCCATACCTAGGTGCAGGGGTCCTAGGATATGTAGTCTTAGTTGGGTGGGGATATGCCTAGTGAAAATGTCGGGTTCATTCACATTAACGGAGAAGGGAAGAGTGGATTTTGGAAGGAAACAGCAGCCACAGAAAATAACCCTTACATTTCACATAACCGGATCCCTTGCTACTGAGCTGGCCAACCTCAGTGCAATGGGGGAAGAAAGCCCCATGTCTTGGGGCCATGAGGCCACGTTTAGGATATAAAGTATTGTTCCATCTGTAGGCAGGCTACCGCCTGTATTAGGAGGAGGTCGGAGGAATACAGGGTGCTACCTGTTTGTGTGCAAGTTTTTATAAAAAAATTTCCCTCTTCATCTTTTCATAGAAAGGGGTCCATTTCTTTGCACACTTAACGCCTGTGGATAACTCTGCTGTTAGGTGGGCCTTTTTTTATCTTAAGCCTAGGAGGAGCAGAGAACTTGTCCCATGGCAACAGTCAGTTTCTTGTGGGTAGAGTGATCCTGGGACACCTCAGTAGTGCTCAGACTAGGACCTGGGTCTAACTGGAGTTTCTGAGTGTTTTTTAATTTGGTTCCCCTTCACCCACATTCCCTTCCAGGCACATCTCTGAATGACTTGTGGTGTGATCTGCATATTTTTTGTGAGTAGTGGTCACTAGAAAATTTTGCCAGGCCTTTTTTTGTGAGGCTCCCTCCCTAGCCAGCTCCGCATTCTTCCCCTCTGATGTCCGCTGTGGTGTGGGGTCTGCTGATTTGGTGATATTAAACCAATGAGAAGGGACAGACATGTAAAAGAACTGATTTTTAGAGGAGAAATCTAGTTGTTGTTTTTTACCTTGGATTCTTAATTTGACAAAAAAAGGGGGGTTATTGGAAGGTTGTTGCAATGGAGAACTAATGTATAAGCTAGTGGACTGGCGAGTCAATTCTGATACTGTGACTAGAGTAACCCATGTTTGGTCAAAAAATAACCTAAGTACTTGCATAAAGCTGATCAGATAAACTAATTTTGGGGAGATATACTTAAAGATATAGCTATAGAAAGAAGTATCAAAAAAAGTCATCTCATATCTTACACAGTATTTTAGTCGTGTGTGTATTTTGTTTCCCTAAGTGAATGATAATGTCCTTGAAGACAGGAATTGGATATTTCAGGGTCTATCAAATATAGATCTTTGACACAGCATTCTCCCAACACTGGATAAATGAATTCATGAATCTAGCCAGAAAGCCTTCAGCTTCAAAGCTATCATAATGACAGGATTAATCCTAAAGGGTTCTGTTTAAAAAGGTTTATTAGGTACTAATGAACACTAGGCATAATATTAGCTACAGGCAGGCTTTTCTATTATCTCCTTTGAATCTCACAATAATCCTAGAGTGAAAGCACTATTATGAAAGAACATGTATGCAGTCCTTTTAGGAAGATACACTTTATACATAATTTGAGCGCAAATCCTTTCCACTGACTCTGCACTCACTCATGTCTGGGATTACCTCTTGACCTGTTCCCTCCGTCCAGGAGAACTTGTGAGCAGGAGCCTTCCCTCTGGCATCAGGAGAGCTCGGTAGGTGACAGGGTGAAAGGACGTATTTCGCAGAGGGGGACTGAGGGTGCAGTGGAGTAGGGGAGTCATGGAACCATTCCATAAGCTCCCGATTCTCAGTGACGTCTCCTGATCCCCCACCAGATGCCCCATGCCTGCATTTTTTTCCCTTTCCAGTTTAAGCGGCTGCAGGGCAAGAGGAACCGAGGGAGGGAGGAGATCAACTTTGTGGAGATCAAAGGTGATGACCAGCTCAGTGGGGCCCAGCAGTGGATGACCAAGTCACTGACAGAAGAGAAGACCATGAAGTCATTCAGCAAAGTAAGTGGGAAAGGTCAGCTGGGTGGCTGTCTTGGGAGGCCACAAAGCAAAATCTGGTCCTACTCCCCATTCTGACCCCACAGCCCACTGTTACCGTCCTAACACCTGTTGCCTGTGGTGCTGGAGTCTGCGCCAGGCCTCACGGACACAGCTTCTGCCAGAACTCTGTGGCACTTTGCTCTCCATTTGGATGGTGGGGTCTGGTTGCTGACACTGAATGGTTGGCGCAGTTTCCCATCTTGCAGTTAGGAAGATCTCTGATTTGTTGTGGCTCCGTCTCTGGCTGGACAGAACCCACAGCTGCTCTACCCTTTGCCCACAGTCATACCCCGTCTGCATCCTGTTAAGCTGGGACAAGGCCCAGCACACCTTTGAGCTCTTCACATCAGCGCCTCAGAAAACCTGGGGTCCCAGATTCTGAGTGTGCAACTCTTCCTTCCTCTCTCCTTTCTTTCCATATTTTATTGTAGCCAGCTGCGGTTTTCAAATGCTTTATTCCTCACATTTCCCACACCACACTGCTTGCTTCTCTGCTAGTTTTCTTCAGTCAGTATGATGAACATCTCTTGGCCTGGTAGCTGAGTACAGCAAATCTGGACATTTATGAGCCTGCCACAGGGGTGGGAAATGTGGGGAAGCCCTGGATCCGAGCCCAGCACCTGCAAGGCCAAGGTCGGGCATCGAACTCCCTTCTCCTCCTCCTGTTTCCCTTGCTTTGTTCTGTGGCCGCAGATGGCCATCTGGGCCCCAGCCGTTTGTTTTAACTGAATGCTGGCGGTCATACAGGACAGAGCAAAGGATTGTGGTTAGAGCAGCATAGATCCATCACTGTTTACTGGAAAAACCACTTAGGAGAGCATGCCATACTAACGTGGGTCGAGAAGCACCATCACCTAGTAACAGCTACTGTACCGACCAGTGTTGGTGCCCACCCTGGGCTGGGAATGGGGCTGGATGGTTCATGTGTGTCATCTCTAACTGTCATGTGAAATGGTGTTAAACAGCAGCAAGGAATTGGAGTTTAGTATTTTCCCAGGTCCAAGTTCTCTTTCTCCCATCTCATTGTACTGAGCTAGACCTTTAAAAAGAACACAAAGATACAGTCCTGTATCTTTGAGGAGTTTACTATGTAGTTGGGAAAAAAAGATGTAAGGACACTTGAGTGTAAATGATTACAGTGCAAATTGATTACATAAGTGCCGAGGAGCCTCCAGAGAGGAGTTTTGGGAGTTGGGTGGGGCTGATTAGGAAGCTTCTAGTCTGAGACAACACTGGCAGGGGACAGAAAAACCGCAGAATGAAAGCCTAGAGCAATATAGACTTTGACAGTAAATCATTTGCATCAGAGTTTGGTGAGGGGTTCAGTGCAGTTACGGGTGGAGGCTGGAAGACTGGAGAGAGGTGGGGTGATGGTGGAAATTCTAATTCCAGGGAAGCTGTTGGCATTTACTAGAATGGGGGAGGTGGGGTTTCAGCTAAAGGTGATTAATGAGAATGAACTTGGTAAGCAGTAGGTAAGAGATAGCTAGACATCTGGGCTGACTGGGGAGAAGGGGACAGAGATGAAGAGGGCCCAAAGGGGAGATGGGCAGGGAGGTTGAGAGGGTTGGGAAGGAGGGAGGTTGCCTGTGCCCTGGCACTTAAGCTGTTTTAGACCGACTGTAGGCACTAAAACTGGTATCAAGTTGCCACTGTGGGCAGAGCCTGTGCGTGGTACTGGCAGTGGGGATGGGGTTACTAAAGAAATAGAAGACCCAGTCCTGACCTCGAAGTATTTCCAGTCTAATGGGGATGTACTAGCAGGCTATTTCAGGCAAGTACTCTGACCTTGGGTTATTGCATAATGGCTTTAATAAAAATAATTGTTTTGTAAGTATATAGACATAGAAACAGCTCCAAGCTGACTTTTCTCCTCTGGGATTTGGGCTGTGTATTTGGTTTCTCAGTCCCCAAACTTGCACCGCTGGGATGCACGGAAGCTTCTGCTCTTCTTCCTGTGGATTAATGATCATGTTTTCTTCCCTTGCAGAAGAAAGGTGAGCAGCCAACAGGCCAGCAGCGGCGAAAACACCAGATCACGTATCTGATTCATCAGGTGAGGGGGCTGAGGGTCCCTAGCCTCCCAGGCAGGATCCGGTAAACCTGGGAATTTGAAGGCTGAGATCTGGGCTAGAAGCCCTGAACCAGGCACCAGCTTTCCGCAGCGCCCGCCCTGGCTCTCCATGTGACCACTAGGGGGTGTGTGTGTCCTTCAGAGTCAACATGTGCTGCGTCAGCCTCACTTTAGAGAGACTCAAGTACAGGTGCTTGGAGTCATGTCTGTAAGTGAAAATTCACATACCCAAAGCACAAATGTAAAAGGGGAGCGAAGTGAAATGGCTTATCGTAGGGTTCTTTTAAATAGCAAGTTTATTTAGTAATTTAAAAAACTATTAAAAGAAAAAATTGGTTCAGCAGCTTTTAGCAAAACATACAACCAATGAGAAGGTTGGTTTTGTCTTCTCCACTTACCTGGCAGGCAATACCAACACAAATAGTTCATAGTTACAGATGACCCCAAAATGTGTTTTGGAACTAGAACATGTCCCAGTATTTATTTGATAGGACCTGGCAGCTTTCAACTATTCATTTAATCATTAAACATCTTTTTGAGACCTGCTATACTAGATGCTGGCAAGGATACAGCCAGGAGTCAGACTCTTTCCCGGCCTTTCCCTGGGAGAGTACATGCTGGCTGCTTGGCGGTTTCCGTGGCAAGTCGTGCTTGCGTTGTTCTTGTCAGATTTCCACCTTCCTTTTCAGGAGCTCCCTTGTACCTTCCCCTATCTTGTTACTTATAGGGAAAAAATTTGAGGGTGGTGTCTTTTTTCAAACCCAAACTCTCAGCCCCTTCCCCCTTATTCCAGGGGAAAAAGCAGGCCCTCAGATAACCTTGTGCAGGTGAGGTTGAGGGACCCCTGGCAAGGGTGGTGCTTGTACCTTCTCAGAAAGCAATATGGAGCCAGGAGTGGTCGAGGTCAGAGGGCGAAGTTGTAATTCTAGTACATTCCAGTTTTTTGAAGCTTCAGTTTGTACTTTAAAGTGGTGTGAATTTCTAGGGTACCACGTGCACTTTATCCAGAACAACAGCAAAACTGCATCTCGAGGCTAATTACGGTTGGCTGGAGTCCCATTTTGACCTGTCCAAATCTTTGAGGCCGCGCTCTCCCACTTGGCTGGTCAGGTGACCAGGCCAGCTGACTCGTCTTCCTTGCAGATGTCAGATTCTAGTTCTTGTCCATTTTCTGTTTGAGTGTTTCAGGTTTAATTCTAGCAGACGGAAAGATAAGGATTCTTGAGTGTTGATTCTGCTTAAACTCTGTTAGCTCCCCAAAGAGGTGATTTCGTTTTGCTTTCTCAAGGTCTTATGCTTCTGTTTGAATAAGAGAAAATCAGGTCTTCAAGGGACTTGCTGTATCCTTATAACTGTTGTGATGGGAGAAAAATTTTAAATTGGGAAGCTCACAGAGGCGAGAGGCAGTCTGACTTCATGCCCACCCTTCTTCCTTGGCACAGGCAAAGGAGCGGGAGCTGGAGCTGAAGAATGCCTGGTCGGAGAACAGGCTGAGCCGCCGGCAGACCCAAGCCAAATACGGATTCTAGGCCTCTGACTTGGTCACTCCCGGGATCGCCTGCAGCCCAGCCGGCCTGGCCCCCAGCTTCACCTCTGGGGCCCCAGCCCTCGTCTCTGCGAGAATGAACATATTTGATAGATTTTTCCTAACAAAAGTTAGAAAATTCGGCTCCTTCCTGTCTTGGAGCTAGCAAAGACTCGCGTGATGATGCCTCAGAACGGGCTCTGAGTTCTTGGACCAGAGTCTTGCTCCCCACTGGGTGTGATGAAATGTCAAACCCCTCCTTACACCCTTTTTTTTTAAACCAGGGATGTCTGTTGAAATAAACATTCGGTCTGACAGAGCTGGCTGCCCTGACCCCTGTCCTCCTTTTCGGTGTGGTCTCCTTTTCCCGTGCTGGACCGTCTCATTCGTTATCCTGTCCCTGGATCTCCACTGTTCCCGGTGTAAAGTGCCCTCCACACGATCAGGACCTGCCTCCATGACTGCTTTGCATTTTTCTCTGCACCCACCTTCTAAACTGGGTTCCTGGCCATTGAAGACCCTAAGAATTTTATGTACAAATTTGTATATGGGGAGGGGGCTTGTGACCCCAAATACGGACAGTATTTCTGATCTCACGTATCTTTGACTATTGGGGGAGGTCAAACAAGTTTCTGTGATAAACTTACCACAGTTCTTAGACATAAAATCTAGTTCAATAGGAGGAAAGTAAGTGAAATACCTGCCCCTAAAGAGGATTCAAGTTAGCACCAATCCCTATTGCCCTGGACTGGTTTGGAAGCTTTGCATAGAGCTTGGGGGCTAGACAGATCTCCTGAGAGACTTCTGGATCCCTGCTTTTTGCTGGGGAAAGATGGTGGGGGAGGAGGGTGTCAGGGTCTGTGGACTCCAGTTAGCTGTAGGGCACTGTGGTGTCTAGAAACAGTAAGATTGTGGCATGATTCCTCCCTCAACAAGGTTCGAGCAGGGATGGAAGATACACTGAGTGGTCACAAACTGCAAATCCTACTGCAGGCCACTGCTGAGACATGTCACTGGGGGTATTGGGGCTCCAGTAGGGCTTTGCCGCAGTGGCTTCCTGCGGGGAGTGCTGAGGAAACCCTGCAATAAGAAAGGCCTTGGTGCCGGGCGGAGGAGTATTGACTGGACGGAGGTGCTTGACTCCAGTTGTTTCAGGTTCCTGAGCAGAGAAAAACCTGGGAGCAGTTAGGGTTTGACAGTCCTGGTGACAAGAGAGGAAGGTTCAGGCCAGAGGGACAATTTGAAGAAGTGTGTGGTGTGGGGACTTGGGGATGGGAAGGAGGAGCAGAGGCAGGGACTCTCCCCATGCTTCTGGTCCTGTGTGCTGGGTAAGTCAAGGAGTCTGTTTCTCATTAAGTACAGAAGAGGGTTTCTGCACTTACAGGAAAACCACCCACTTATCTGAAATCTGACCTACTTCGGGCTGGAGCCAGACAGGGCTCCTGCATCCCATGGGAACACTTGGGCTGTGTCATCCAAGGCAGTGCATCCAGCCAGCCTTTAGCCCCTGCCACCGCCCCGCCTGCGGGGGCACTGGGGGCCAGGGCTGAGATTGCCCCTCTGGGGTGACGAGGTGGTGAGGTGGGCCTAGCAGGGCCAAGAAGTCTGAGAACCCGAGGAGCCACAAGCTTCCGCGTTGCCAGTTTGCTGTAGGTGCAGCCCTGCCGTCCAGAGTCGCCACACACGGGATTGGGCTGTTCAGCTTCCGCATCTTAAGGGCTGCATCTTGATGGGACTGGGAGGCAGGGCGTGAATAGGGAGTCCCGGTGTCTTCTGGGAATGGGTGAACTTAGGTCAGGTATCTTTAAGGTTCTTGCCTCTCATCTCCTTTGGTTCTCTGCAAGGAGTCTTAAGCCATTTTTTTTAAAGCTATTTGTTAGTTCCACTAAAGATGACATTATATTTTGGTGGTTGGAATTCCCTAGTCACCAAGAGAAACACAAGTTAGACATGGACAGACTTCATTTGGGAGGGCTTCCTGGAGGTAGTGGCCTCAACTTCAGGTAAATGGGAAGGAGAAGACAGGGATGAGGGAGACAGAAGACAAATGACACCTGGTTAACAGTGGCATGGCAGCAACATCCAAGGGGCAGAGGGAAGGGGGTGAAGGCCTTGGTCAGAAATGGACTCCCAATAGCTCTGGAGGATGTTGGAGGGGCTAGGACAAAGCCTGAGTGCAGTGTCGCGTTGACCAGGACAGGCCCAGGAAGCTGGGGTCTACAAGGATCAGACTTAGAAATGGCGCAGAGATGGCACAGCTGTCATGAGGATGTTTCAGCCTCTGGCCCCTGGGAGGGCCTGGCTAGGTCTTCACCTCTGTGCTGAGCTTGCTGTGCAAGAGGCAGCAGTCTGTTGAGGGGACACCTGTGGTTCTGTGGAGCCTGGGGACGTGGCAGGGATGCTGGAACCCTCTGTGCTGCCTGCTCCTCACCTTTGTTCCTCTCTCCCTCTGCACAAGTCTTTCAGGTGGGGCCAGGTGCTCTAAGGCTAACAGAGGTAGTTGAGGGTGAGGCCTCAGGGGTGACCGGCCCCCAGTCCTCCCTCAGTGGGTCCATAGGGAGTGATGTGCTCAGAAATACGAACAGCTGAGGTCATGGTTATGGGGTTAACAGCTTCTCAGCTCCTTTGCTCCTGAGTCAGAGCTATGGGGCACCTTCTGAGACCATCTACTGCATTAGCTGAGGGAGCAGACAGGATGAAGGGAAGCTTGGGGGAGACAGGAGCAGGAAGGATTACAGAATGACTTCGGGGTCAGCAGGGGGCAAAGGGCCTGGAACTGGGGGCAAAAGCTGGACCCTCCACTCACGGCAGGGCCTTCTGCAGGCTCAGATCTATGAGGGGGTTGAGCCAGAGAAAGCCCTGCCTGGAGGAGCAGGAGGGACGGAATGGCCATGGGAGGATTCAGTCCCTGGGAAATGCCCTCTGGCTCTGGGAGGGTCTCTGGCTGGGATGAGCAACTCTGTGCCTCAGCTATTGTTCCTGAGGTCACTCAACATCTCCCTCTGGAGGTGCCACCACAGCCGAGGCCTCTGTGGGAATGAAGTCTGTGGGATGCTGCAGGGGTGCCCCTGCTCGCGCGTGCGTGTGTGTGCATGCATGTGCACGTGTGAGTGTGCGCGTGCGTGTGCGTGTGTAGGCGCTGCCACCTTGATTTTCAGTGCGGGGCCTGCAGCCATCCCTTGGGAGGATGGAGACTGGGTTCTTTCGCCTGGGAGGGATCCCTGGTCTAAGGGGGCATGCATTGGGATGCGAAGATCTCCAGTTCTCTGTCACCTCCCCTCTCTAGACCTCAGTTTCTTGTTTGGTTGAACCAAAAAGTCAGTTGTGAAGCATCTGAAGCCTCTTTGAGCCCCAGAACCCCTGCAGTGCCAAGCCCTTCACTTGCATGGTCTCATCTGATCTGTACACAGCTCTGTATGTAAATGAGGCTGTCTTATCTCATTTCAAAGGAATATGGGGTACCAGGGTGCAGAAAAAATGTTTCCCTGTGCAGCCACTTAGCACAGCACCATGGCAGGAGCCCCGGGCTCTGATGACGCCATCATCCAGAATCTCCTACCAGCCCTTTAGCGGGTCCACCCTCAGCTGCATGGAGCTGAAGTGGGCGGGAGAGGTCCCACTCTGCTCCTCTGTAGCGGGCTTTGCTCCCGCTGCAAGTGGGTCACTGGCATGCCTGCCCCTCCCCGCACCTTCCCATCCTGCTAAGTCCTGAAGTCTAAGCAAATCCTATTTTCTGACCTTCTGATTTCCAGCTCTTGCTATACGATAAGCCTCTCCTTTCTCTGCCTCCTTTCCCGGCCACAGGGAACCTGCCACGAGGTGACTCCCAGAGTCTAATCTGAGACCTTTCTTCTTGCACTTCCAGCCTCCCTGATTTGGGCAAAGCCATCTGCTTCCCTCCCCTCCCCTCCAGCTCCCTCCCCATCTCTCTCCTTGCTCAGGAGGGAGTTTAGATCTACAGACAGAAGGAAGTGGACCCCCAAATCTGTTGACTCAGCAACCGTATTGCTCTTTAAGCTGCTTAGCACCGGAGTGGAAAGGAAGGGGATTCACCAGTCACTGGAGCTGGCGCCTGCACCAGGCTGGGGGTGGCAGAAGCACCTAGGCCTAGAGGATGTGGCTTCAGGGAGGGTCCTGGGATTTTTGTGCCTCAGGCAGGTACAGGGTCCCCTTGGCAGGCAGAGGGACCCCTGCAGGCCCTGGCTGCTTGACTAAACTCTTGTGGCCATGAGAGTGTAAGAACAGGCTGCACAGGTGGGACCACAGCAGCCCCCTGATGGCTTCTTGGGGGGCAATATATGCTCTGAGCCCTGAGGGTGAGCCAAGGGCAGACAGCCCCACCTCAGAGACACCCCAGTCTCAGATAAAAATAATACCCAAGACAGATTCTTCCAGGTGGCTGAAGCCCAGAGTGGAGGCGAGTCCTGAAGTGGGCCTGGCAAAGGGGAGGAAGCCTTACAAGGGGGACAGTGGAGGGAACGCGGGCCTGACAGAGGCCCAGGCCTAAGCCAAGATGCTGGGACGACAGCACAAAGTATCTTGGAGCCACTGCAGGGGACTCTGCATCCCTCTAAGGAGCTCACACAGGCTAAGAATGCACGTCCCCGTCCAGTCCCATGGCTGGCAGGGACGGATGTGCAGGGCCTACCCCAAAGCCACTCCCCTCCCTGCCCCTCTTTCGTTCCTGGCATCCTCTAGGTGACACAGCCACCTGCCTGTCCATGGTTACCTGTCCAGCCCAGCCCAGCTGGGAAGGAATATTTTGCAGCGAGGTCTGTGTCCCTCATCTTGGTGTCTCCCAGCCCCAGTCCACACATCTGTGGCCCTTGCACAGGTGTCTCTCAACTCCAGACCCCTCTTCCCCTGCTGCAGTGGTGGTCCAGCCACTTGCCTTCCACAGTATGGGAGAGAGTCAGAGACAGAGACAGGAGGAGTCTGGAGCACTTGGGTCCCTGTGGGGGAGGCGGTTGGCGATGATTTATTAGCCAGACAAGCATCAACAAACAAGTTCAAACATCTGTTCTCACCAAACCGTTCCTCAGACAACAGCAGCATTGGACCGGGGCCCAGGCCCAAAGGCTCAGAGGGCCGAGGAAATCAGACTCCAGGAGGGGAAGCGGGGGCAGTGGAGCCGCAGGGCCCTCCTAGCCCACTTCCTTAGAGGATCGCCAGACACTGAGCCACTGGATTCTTGGGGACTCCTGGGAGGGAACCATGCATGTCCCCAAAAGGAAGCGGGCTCCACATCTGCTCCTCTGATCTTCAGGATTCTTTGTGGGGGGCCGAGACCTGTCAGGGGAACAGAGTTAAGCTGGGATCTGGAGGAGCACCCA